AGCGAGAGCTGCAGATTACGTTCAGATGAAGTCAACAGGACCACATCATCCGCAAAAAGCAGAGATGCGATCCTAAGGCCACCAAAACATGGCACACAAAAAATTGACAGCATCTAAAAACAATCAATGAAACATAAAGACGTCAAAAATGGATACAGGTCTGTTTTTGACATAGCCAGAGCTTTGTTTGTTTTTGGAACGTTATGAAACTGGTTACGGACTTTAAATCAACAGGAAGTGAGTTCCAAACTGCAGATCCTCTCATGGACAGAGCACTTTGAGCAAACGTGGTTCTTCGAAAGGGAACCTTACAATTTCCGTCTGAAGCCGCTCTAGTAGACTGAAGTAGTTGTGTGGAGTGATGTTGGCTTCTGAACTGCATCATCCCATCGCCACCTTCTGGTGATAACATGACTCAGCAGAAACCAGAGTCAGACTGAAGGATCACGTTTTCTCAACGCCGAGAAATTTACTCAAGAAGCTGAAACTGAGCTGGTAAAGCTAGAAGAAACACACCAGCTACAAACTAAACATTTTTCTTATTTTTTATCAGTTGAAATGATTGAAATTCTATGAATTGGTTGATCATAATATTTTACAGGTTATGTATAGCGCTTACATTAAACTGTGTTAAGAGAGAAACTTGTTACAATCTCAAGGGGATAGTGATATTTGTAAAACCTAAATTTAGAACGAGTTTGAAGGAACTTCAATCCAAGGAATAAGATTATGGAATAATCTGGAGAGTGATGTGAAAAATGMTGTTTATGTTTAAGAAAATTATAAAAGTTTGTTAAAGAGATGTGAAGTGGAATAAGCTGTTATGTTGTTCACCAAGGTTTTGATGTTGGTTTWGTTTATTTTGGGATTATTTATTGCTTTTGTTTTAATTTTTTCTTAGGGAAAAAGGGGGCAGATGTTACAACATATTTTTCTTCTCTCTGCTGCCTTTCATTTCATTTATATTTTTTCTTCTGTTGTGTATAAAGTTTTTTTTTTTAGTGAAATTAATAAAAAAGCTATCAACAATAATACATCAATGTTTGCTAAAATCTGCAGCCAAATCTGCAAAGCTCAATGTAGCAAAAGTTTAATTGAAAGATAAAAGTATSACATCAAGTAGCCTAGCAAAAACCACAAACTGAAAACTAAAGTTTAAAGGTTTGCTAAAAGCTAAATGTATCAAATKGTAGCTAAAAGCAGTAAAAGGTTAGCTAATAGCTAAAAACAATGTTACAAACATTACCTAAAAACAGGAATAAGTAAGCTAAAAGCTAAAATATCAAAGAGCTACCTAAAAGCTAAAACTAGCAWACATCTAGCTTAACTCAACAAAACATTAGCTATAAGCTAAACATAGCAAATCTCTGACTAAAAGCTTTAAAAGTTTAGCTAAAAGTAGCAAAATTCTAGATAAACAGATCCAACACCTAACTGAAAACTAAAGTTCAAAGCTAAAAGCTAAATGTAGCAAACATTAGTCTAAAACGGTAAAATCAGCCAATAGCTTCAAAACTAAAAGGTTACATAAAAACAGGAATTAGCTGAACGATAAATTATTCAAGCCCTACCCAACAGCTAAAACTAGTTAACTGCTAGGTAAATGTATCAAAAGGTTAGCTTAAAGCTAATAGTAGCACAAGAAGACAGATCTTAGGAACAGGGTTGTATAAAATGAACTATTATATGAAATACTAAAACAGCAGAAAGTATCAGTTGGTTTTCTTGTGTCCAGGTGAGGTCCATCATCAGTGACTTTGCAGTCTTCATCACCATCCTGACGATGGTGTTGATAGATTACGCCATGGGCATCCCCTCACCTAAACTCCAGGTCCCCARCAAGTTTAAAGTAAGTCCTCCTCTGCTGCTCTCACAATAAAAAACCATGAATGCTGTAAAATAAAGTGTTGCTTTGAATCCTGAAGCCCACCAGGGATGATCGGGGCTGGGTGATAAACCCTGTGGGACCAAACCCGTGGTGGACCACCATCGTCACCTTCATCCCTGCCCTGCTCTGCACCATCCTCATCTTCATGGACCAGCAGATCACAGCCGTCATCATCAACAGGAAGGAGCACAAACTGAAGGTATTTCATCTWACAGCCACAACCAGGGTCAACGTTCGGTCAGCTAAAAGCACACGTTGCTCCTGCAGAAGGGCTGCGGGTACCACCTGGACCTGTTCGTGGTGGGCGTGATGCTGGGCGTGTGCTCSGTCATGGGCCTGCCGTGGTTCGTGGCTGCCACCGTGCTCTCCATCTCCCACGTCAACAGCCTGAAGCTGGAGTCAGAGTGCTCCGCCCCCGGAGAGCAGCCCAAGTTCCTGGGCATCCGCGAGCAGCGCTTCACCGGCCTGATGATCTTCACCCTGATGGGCTGCTCCGTCTTTATGACCTCTGTGTTAAAGGTTCACACACTGGGGGGGGCGGGGGGGGGGGGTGCAAGTGCATGGAAGACAACAGAGCTGGTTCATGGAAGGCTAAACACTTACCTGGTTACACATACAGTGTTAGCTCTTCAGATAATATATGGCTTTTGTGCACGTGATGTCACACCTGGTGCATTGTGGGTATTGGGTGCCATGATGGAGGGATAGTACCGGCATCGTGAGACTAACTGCTAGCTACCAAGCTCTGACAGGGTGGCTTTCAACTTATTCCAACTGAAGGTGATTGTAAATTTTTGTATAAAAAGTGTTTTGGTGGTGTTGTGTATAAGTTGTGTTGGTGTTGTGTATAAGTTGTGTTGGTGTTGTGTATAAGTTGTGTTGGTGTTGTGTATAAGGCTGTTGCAGTAAAAAGAGACACTCTGAACTGTTTCAGGTTTCCTGTCTGTAGAAAAGACAGTGGACTGTATATGGAAGATATAAGCTGGACATGCAGGTCAGCTGTCAGGTTCAGGATATCTCATTCAGCATTATGTAATTTACACAGGTTTATAGTAACTAAGTATATTTACTTCGTTACAGTACTTAAGTCGTTTTTTTTTTTTTGAGGATTTGTACTTTTACTTTTATTTCATTACATTTTAAAGCTAAAAATTATACTTTTACTTCTTTAAAATGTAACACCTAGTTACTTGTTACAAATTAAATACAGCAGGTAAAATAAGTATTGAACACGTCACCATTTTTCTCAGTAAATATATTACTAGAGGTGCTAATGACATGAAATTTTCACCAGATGTTGGTAACAACCCAAGTGATCCATACATACAAAGAAATCAAACCATAAATGTCCAGAAATGAAGTTATTTGTAATAATGTGGAATGGCACAGGGAAAAAGTATTGAACACACTTACTGAAATTTATCTAATACTTTGTACAAAAGCCTTTGTTGTCAATGACAGCTTCAAGACGCCTCCTGTATGGAGAAACTAGTGGCATGCATTGCTCAGGTGTGATTTTGGCCCATTCTTCCACACAAACAGTCTTCAAATCTTGAAGGTTTCGTGGACCTCTTCTATGAACTCTGATCTTTAGTTCTTTCCATAGATTTTCTGTTGGATTCAGGTCAGGTGATTGGCTGGGCCATTCCAGCAGCTTTAGTTTCTTTCTCTGAAACCAACTGAGAGTTTCCTTGGCTTTGTGTTTGGGCTCATTGTCTTGCTGAAATGTCCAGCCACGTTTCATCTTCATCATTTTACATTATTACAAATAACTTCATTTCTGGACATTTATGCTTTGATTTCTTTGTATGTATGGATCACTTGGGTTGTTACCAATATATTTACTGAGAAAAATGGTGACGTGTTCAATACTTATTTTACCTGCTGTATATTGCCCAATTTACTAAACCTGGCTTACAGGAACCGGTTTGGTTCAGTAAATTCAACAGTTTATAAAAGTACTTTACTTTCCCAATTTTGTGACCAGTTTTATCACTTTTACTTAAGTAGTTTTCTTATCAGTGAAATGTACTTTTACGAAAGTCATTTTCTGTTCATGTAATTTTACTTTTACTTAGTTTTTCAAGTACTTTATAGAGCTGTGTTAATTTAAACATGTTTCTATGAGGCATGGTGTAGTTTGTGCTGTTGGTGACGTATGAACGAATGAATGAATGAGTGGAAACAGAGCAGAGTTAGCTGTTCATGTCTTAGCTGCGTCATCAAATACCATCTCTGGCCTCCKTGTTGAGCTTCTCCCTGTCTTCTTCTGGGTTTTATTCTGAAGGTGCGTTTTTCTGATGAAATGGTCGCACTGCTGTCCCTGAATGGTTAAAATCAGAACTACATCATGGCACCCAGAACGACCCACATACTGCATTAGCTCCAGGTCTAATAAATATAGCTTTAGCTCCGGAGCAAATATATTTAGCCTTAGCTATAGAATTAATAAATACATCATTTGTTTTAGAGCTGTTAAATCTAGCATTAGTTCAAACACACTGCAGTTTGGCTGCAGTTATATTATTTATGTTGGATCACACTTAGAACATGTTTGAGACAAATAATGTGTAAATATAAGAGGCATGATCCTGATACTGACTGGTTTCTTTGTTGTTCTGACCTCAGTTCATCCCCATGCCGGTGTTGTACGGGGTTTTTCTGTACATGGGGGCTTCTTCACTTCGAGGCATTCAGGTAAATGTGCACACCTGCTGGTGGGTTCCTGTCTCAAGATGATTCCACACCRAGTGGGTTTTGTTTCTGCGCAGTTCTTTGACCGTCTGAGGCTGTACGGCATGCCGGCCAAACATCAGCCGGACTTCATCTACCTTCGTCACGTCCCGCTGAGGAAGGTGCACCTCTTCACCATCATCCAGCTCAGCTGCCTGGTCCTGCTCTGGGTCATCAAGACCTCCAAGGCTGCCATCGTTTTCCCCATGATGGTAAAACCCCAGTGTGTGTGTGTGTGTGTGTGTGTGTGTGTGTGAGCTCGTTGTCAGATTCTCGATGCCTCTCCAGGTCTTGGCTCTGGTGTTCATTCGGAAGCTGCTGGACTTCATTTTCACCAAGCGGGAGCTGAGCTGGCTGGATGATCTGATGCCTGAGTGGAAGAAGAAGAAGCTGGAGGACGCAGCGCAGGAGGTGCAGGAACGCACCACACCTCTGGATCCTGGATGTTTTACAGTTTTTATTGCAGCAGAAAACATTACTATTTTTTATTTTTTCTCCAGGAGGAGCACAGTATTATTGCAGAGGAGGAAGGCATCGTACAAGTCCCACTAGAAGGACATTACAAGTGAGTCGTCTCTACTTGTTGAGCTTCTTATGGAGCAGGAGGTGATGTTTTACCTGCATATCAAAAATAGAGGTGGACTGAGACCAGGGCAGCCGATGGCCAAAATACAAACCAGATTCTTTATTTTTAGTGTAACGTGTATTTTTCATTTCACGTTACATATTTAAACATATTGTTAGAAAAATACGTATTCAATAGACTGAAGTCAATATTAAAACCAACATTGTTAAATAAAATGATTTGTAGAAGGAATCAAACCATACAACACCAGAATTCTGGAACTGAGTGAGGTTTAATGTCACCGGAGCTGACAGGAAACCACACTGATGAAAAACCAGGAAGTTCATCAATTTATACATGATTCTTCAATGCCAGCGTTCGCCCCCTACTGACCTACGGCTGAATCACAGGCATTCAGACAAAATTCTCATCTAATGTCCTCACAACRTTTGAATATGTGTTGTTATAATTCAGACATGTAACTTATCTATATCAATCAAAACATAATAGATTAAACACTGTCAACATTATAAAAAGGAAAACCTAAAAATATAGTGTTGTGCTTTTAACATCAGTACTAACATCTAATAACTATAAATTTCTTCAATCCCCCTTTTCACATGACCAAATCATGTGAACAAAAATAAGAAATTTATAATAATCTATATGTTCGCATTAAGGCACAAATGTGTATGCAAATTGCCCTAAGCGCTACAGCACAACGTGGAAATTTTCTAACATCCCACCCCTAATATAAAGTGCTCCGTTTATTCCACCCCAATCAAAAATAGAAAACATAAATTGAACTATTGTCAAATACCAACCAGGTCAGCTCTGTGCATTCTATCGAGGCCAGAGGTTCCAGAACTTGGCCTACCGTTGGGAACAAGTCCTCAGCACCGTCTTCCGTGGCAGACTGACCTGGTTACTAACAATATCCCTGCATATTAAAATTTAACCTTAGCTCCTCAACAATTAATCTATACAAAGAACAGTAAACAAATAACCCAAAATGTTAAACCATTTCTAAACATATCCTGCTTAGTGTATATAATGTATAATGACAATATAATGGCTAACATTTTTAAAGGTCTTCTACATGTAAAAATAATATATAAGAGTATCCTTGCAGTAAACAGGTTGTAGCTAAATCTAAATCTAAAACTAAATCTTCATGTTCCTACTTGAAGACCAATCAAGTATACAAGCTAAATGTTATAAAATGGCCAATATTGAACACTTCACTGGTTTGTTTCCACTTTCTATTAAATATTAGTATCCAGTGGTGGGCATGGTTACGCTCAGTGGTGGGCAGCGCTAACCCAAAAATTAGCTCCCCTAYTTCTAAAGCACTTATGAAAATATTTAGGTGCGTAACTTCAAAAACGCATATGTCATAGAAAAACTAGTGGAAGCTAATTTTAAAGCGCAAGTTCAATTTGACACTTACTAGCTGGCAATAATTCATTACAGTATGCACAATACTGCCAACTAACGGTGTATGAACTCTTGTACAGCTTAATCCAACAACCGCCGATTGCGGGGATCTGATTTTCTGAAACAGAACTTTGGCTCCTGGTGTAAAAATTAAAAAGTTGTT